TAAATAAGTAAATAAATAAATGAACAAACAAACAAACAAACAAACAAACTAGCACATATTGTAAACTGAACATTAACTATTAAGAATTCAATCTTCTGAGTCGAGGCTGGCGAGCGGATTATTTCGAATTAAACTCGGTTCTACTTGGAACACATTCAGCTAGTTACAGGATTTGAACCTGGAACTTTCAGATCTCAAATACAGCTCCCTAAACCTCTCGGTCACGCAGCCTCTACTTCAAACTATGTTTCAAATTAAAGTGCAAATCTCTTAATATAATCAAATCCAAAGTAATGAACTTTCGGCTAATTGACTGTTATAATAATTAGCAACCTATCAAACACGAAAGACCTTGTTTCATTATGTTTTCAAACGCCGAAAAGAGAGTTAAAATTCGACGCGAACCGGGAATTTCGTTCGAACTTCGAGGTGTTTGGAAAAGAGGTCAAACGCTATCTTGAGTGTTTCATGTATCCTCTCACATCAATCGAAACTAAAACTAAGGAGAAAATGGAGAAATAAAATCGTAAATATCCACGCTAATTAAGATCACATATTTAAACACCATCACGGTCATGATTTCGTTTGTTTAAACTAAATGGTTTATTAATGAGTTTTAGAAGTTTAAGTGCAGTTCTGATAATCTGATGGTATACATTCAGTTGATATCCAATAGAATGATTTCAGAGTCATGGAAAAAGAGAACATTCGCAACATACGCGAATCTCCTGTGAGTATACCTGAGCAGTATTTCCCGTAAAAAACAGAAAATCCTGCTTTAAAGCCGTGTTCTGGCAGATCCCAAACAATTCCGGTACTCCACAGAGCTCGAACGTCGAGCTTGTGACAACCGCTTGACAAAGTACCTCGTTGATGTAGCGAGGAACCTTGTCAGGCCCCAAATCTGTTATTGCTGGGCAGACTTTGCAAAGCCTGGTTAGGCCTCCTGTCGTATTCTCACAAGGTCCAGTGATGGCAGTCACAGGGTATGAGGTAGCTCTCTTGGTATTTCTACCTCTGCCTCTTTTCCTTTTAAGTAGTGGTTTGTCCTGGAAGTTGTTTTCATCCAAAGCTGTACCGTGAATGTGCGTTTCGTTCAATATTGAGGACGTTGACAAAAGGTCTCCGCTTTTTATCAGCATCATCTGTGAATGGCAGGAGACCAGATCAGGGAACCGCTTCGCCTCCTCGCGGGTAAATGCCATATACAGGGAATTGTAGTATCCCAGCGGTCCCGCAGACCTGTTAAATCTTTGGAGGATTTTCTTGAAGGCTTCGCTGTTCCGACATGTTGTTTGGTCTGAAGTGTCCTCGCCCTCTAAAGTTCCCCAGAATTGGTAGAACCCAACGGCAAACAGCAGTAGGCGAGGAAGCATCTGGCGTTAAGAGAAACAATCTACTGAATGACATGTAAAAGCCAATGCAATGCCATGTTCTACACCTTCATAAATAGCTATAACTAATGGCTGTTGTTTTTGGACACAAGGCAATTAATATCATATAATATAATACAAATGAAATCTGTTGTAATATACATTGAATAGTATATTATTCCCAGTTTTAATATTATTCAAACTCTTCAGTGAAATCTTACACTCTTATACTGAGTGTTATGGTTACTAAGAACGTAAGTTATAAAGCCATGATTGAGCAGTTGTGAAATTATTATTTTTTTTTTCAGGCTTTAATTTCACAACTGCTTAAGTTGTGTGTGTAACTGCGATGATCAATCATGTCTTTATAGCTTTCTCCGCAATCCAAATATATGATATTTCATATATTCACTTGCAAGAACGTAAGTGTTGTCCCCTTTCATTTTCTGTAAGATTTCAGTTGCACATCGACGAATTAATTTTAGAAAGACGAAAGAACAATTTTCTGGAGAGCGTCACATGAAATGAAATTGGTAATAGTGTAGTTTTATTACCAGTTGTATAATAGTAACTATCACTCAAGCGTAACGGTTCAATTGTCCAGTAAATGTTATGATTGGAGCTGCTTTCAACCAATAAGACTCGTGAGTGCTGTTGCGGAATAACGAGTCCGTGCAAAGATATTTTTTGCGGGCAAGTAACATTGGATTTGAATTTTTGAGAACTGGGCTTGGATTAACGCGCACCTACTCGTTTTCCAAAGTCTTGCAACTTGTGAATAACATTACGTACGTCACAATTTCGGTGAAGCAATCTATATTGATTCTACCTAGCAACGAGTCTGCTTAGCAACAGAATATTTGATTTTTTGTTCTTCTATAAATTTTCGAATTTCGAAAATAAACCGTATTAAATCAAAATTACATTGATTTACCCGCACGACAAATGTATACTGATTTGGGTTGTTTCGGGTTTCAACGATGTTTAATGGGACAGTTATTCAGGAGGGGTTTTGGGGTATTATCCAGAGCAATGAAGATCAGTGTTCGCCCTTTATGTATGGGATATGTTTTGTTATTCCTTCACCTCAAACGGGAGCCATTATATTAACTTTGAGCCTTGGCAGTTTTCACCCCTAAGAAAATGAGAATATTTCAAACTTAAAGAGGAAAAAAAAAGGTCAAATACATAAAACAAAACTCCCAAACACAATAATAGCATCAAGAACAAGCGGGCTTCAGCAGTAAGAGCGTTTCGTTAACTTCACCAATTCTTACTTTACTCAACAAGATCAATTAACTTTAGCACACGAGGCGTACATTTTGAGCGTTATTTGAGGATCTAAGATAATAACATTACGTATAGTTATACCTTTTGTACGTCAAGAATTCGAAGCTTTGTCTTGTGGCCTGTCAACCTTTGCTCTTCCCGAGAAACTTTTCTTCTTATTGAGTTGGCTACTAAAGGAAATGTGCTCAGAGTTCTATGTAATTATATAAATTGAGAATCGTCAATTATGGAGTTCTCCGACACTCACTGAGAGTGACAGTAGAAGTGCCTTGAGAAGTCCAATGAATACAACTCTTGTATAGTCAATTTTCTTAATTTATTGGGCCCTTGAAACTTTAATTTAAAGAGAGCAAAATTCTCATTAGACTTTGTCAGTTTTCTGTGAAATTTCTTATATGAAACACCATTAAAAAAGGATGCATATAGAAGTCAATGACAAAATTCAACATATATTATATTTCTGGACAAAACACAAAATAAAGAGTACAGTTTTTTGTGGCACAGTAATCAAAATAGCCATCCAATTCAAGTTTGACACGATTACTCTTAGACTGATTAGTAGCTGAACTCATTAATTGCATATTGTATTTTATAGCGAAAAAAATATAATCCAAAAAGTAATAATAATAGTGTGTTGACAATTTCATTTTTTCAATCTGTTTGCTTGTTGCCAATGGTTAAAATTTTCCTCGTTTGTCGTTTGAAAGCTACAATTTGTAGCTATGTATTTCTCTCAGGATGAACCGTGACGTTTGAGGAGTTCTCTGTTAAATTATTATAGGCCCGGAAACCTACAGTCAATTACGTTGGTTGGTTTCAAGAGATTTTAAAAAACGATTTGTATTTCTGTTGTGCGAAAAATTGGTGTTAAAGGCTTTTTTGACACTATTGTATAACAGCAAATATCACTGATTTATACCTAGTGTTGTGAGCTATATTCCACTGTCTAATCTTCAATAACTCCACTGTGCTAGTGAATAAGTCGAAAGCTTTTGCGCCCTTGGCCTCTACACTGCTTTCTCTTTTGTAATGTAATTTCGCATTTTTTTTTTTTTTTTCTGATTTTGTACTTTCGTTAACTAAATGTTAAGTTTAACGTAACTAAAATAATTGTAAATAGCTTGAATTGAATTGAATGGCCCAATGGAAAGTTTAAGCTTTTTCAGTCTTAAATATTCTCTAAAAATAGCGGTTATTTATCTTGAAAAATAAAGCTAATATGGCTGGAGTCAGTTCGTCGATTTTCAGTGGTTTGCTTTGTTCGGTGTGCAACGTATAAATTGATAAAATTCCTATTAATAAGGACATGTCCTCATTTATTCTGTTAAATCAAGCCATCATTCTTCTTTACATAGTAAAAGCTTCGTCTGTCTCAGTTATATGTATGAGCACAACGAAAGATTGTTAAAACAGTCTGACTTCTGGTTTCGCAACACGAAATGTAGTGTGATGATTTGTTGCCAGGGAATTATATAGGACACAGAGTACATGACAAACATTTAATGGCCTTTAACTTAATTATAAGTTCAAACTCTTCGAATTACAATACTAGGCTATTTGAAACAGTTTTTTGCACATCGCAAATGAAGTTTCGATGTTGTTGAAAATAAGTTTCATTCCCGCTGTGGGTTGCTACTGTAATTTTTATTACACCCTGTAAGGTTATGATAAGATCGTAAAAAAAATGACCTGATATTTTACACTTTTTATAAGTATACTTTTCCAAGACCAGACTTAAAAATCAATGATCGATCCGAATTTCGACATCGTACAGTGAAAATGTTAACTAAAATACCCAACTTTATTAAAGTAAAAAAATGTATAAAGGTGCCCTCCGTCTTAAACATTAAATTTGTCGGAGTCCTATTATATCGTTAAAAAAAATTATGATTATCACTTGTTAAAAAAAAAATGTGCTCTAAATCAACGGCGAGGTGTTTTGTAGAAGATAGAGTTGAAACAGTTACTGTCGTCCGCCATTTTGAAACATGTCCCACGCTACCCCTGAAAATAAAAGATGTTAGTATCACCCAACTAATGGACTAATGCAAATCCTGCATTTTGATTGGCTACGCTACTAGGGGACTACTAGTAATAGTCATCGAGTAGCCAAATTGGTGCCATCGAGCCTGACGCTTTCTTTCGTTTTATTCCCAAATAAATATTTCTTCAACTTGCATTTGTTAACTTTATTATTACCTTTTCTGTCCGACTAGTTGGGTGATACTAAAACAATTAGACCCTTCGCCCTCAAGGGCCATGGGTCAATAGCCCATTCGGCTTCGCCTCATGGGCTATTGACCCGTAGCCCGCAAGGGCTACGGGTCTAACTGTTAATTAGAACAAAAAGCACTCGCAACAGCTTCTGATCTCTTGAGTAAAGGCTATAAATTTTTCTTGGCCAGTTGCCGGATTACACTGCCACAGCAATAGCTGCTGAGATATTGATGTGGTTTTGCAATATCCATTTCCCTGCACACCACAAAGCGTGTTCTCTGTCTGGCATGTGACTTCGTTGATAAAACGAGGAAACCTGTCTTCGCCAAGGTCGGTCATGACCGGGCACGTGTTGCAATATGGGAAATTGCTCTGAGTAGAGGTGCACGCGCCCGTCGATAAGGGTGCTGATAAACTTGAAGATTTTAATATAGCCGCTGAAAAGTTCACTGGTTGTTGCGTGATCAGGTTTTTAAAGTTGTTTAACGCCTCATTCATGGTAAAGGCCATGTAGTTTTTGTTGAATTTGCCCAGAGGTCCGCCACCAGATTTGTTTAACTGCGCCAAGGCTTGCTGTGTAGTAGGTGGTGAACACAGACTCGACGCTCTCAATTCATCTTGTGACGTGAGCAGAACGAACTGCACCAAAAGGAACAAGACCTGTCGATTCAAGAAGTAGGAGTTACAGTACATGTTTGGAATGCGAGAAACTGTCGTACGTTTACGTGTGAATTAGAAATGGGAATCGCACAATCCTCTCGTACAACTCCTGCTCAATAGAAGTAAATAGGAGTTAGAGAACATGCTTGCAACGACAATGTGAGAAACTGTCGTACCTATGTACTTATAAATAAGGATAGGAATCGCACAATACTCTAGTACAATTCATTGTTAATAAAACCAAATCTATTGTATTACTGGTACTACGGGAAAAGGGTAAAAATAGCAAATACCCGCCAATATCTCATCTAGCAGAGCTAGCATTCTTCAGGTGCAGAACTACGCACTTCTTTCTTCAGGGCACACTTCTTCAGACTTCGGACTTAAAATTTGTAATGTGTTTTGGGACTTACTTCACGGAAAACTATGATCCAGGCCATAAGCTTCTGGCCTAATTTCAGTTTAAGTTTTTAAGCATGCGCAAAAAATGCTAGACGTGTTCTTCAAACCTGACCCACGACAGTACAAAGACGGGTTAACCCTTTCAATACCAATAGAATACTCTGGCTACCTTCTGCGTTGCATGTTCTTTTTGGTTGCCGTGAAAAGTTGGATGTTAATTATGGGCGAAGCCTAGAAATGGACCTTGATCAATCATAGGCATAGTGGACCATTTTCCATCGTTTTTGCACCAAAACTGATAACGTTGTTTTTCAGTTTGCGACGTCGCAATGTCGTCGATATCTAAACCTGACCATTGTGGGAAAAGGCCTAGCCTAGTACTACCATCTGCTTATCAATAATATTTGGTGATATGTAAATTAATGAGGTCACAAGTGGCACAAAGAGCACGACCATTACGTGGCCGTATATGGCTACTTGGGCGTCAAAGAGTTAGCTCCATGACGTCAGAAAAATAGAAAGATAAGTTCAAATTTTTTCCATAGACAGGTAACGATGTAAAGGTGACTGAAGTAGACGTTAAAAAGATGTTCAAATGAAATTTTATCCCAAGGACAAATTATATCCTGCTTCATGGCTTTGTTGATGATGTACACCATGCAGCGCACTTTTGAATCTTGCACAAGCCGTACATTGTAGAACACCGAGCCGGTACGGAATGTCAAGACTTCAGGGATGGTTTCTTGACAAGTTAAGCGTTTTCTCAACAAGGTGAAGGTTAATGTTCGCCCTTCAGTTCGGAACTGTGAAACCTTTGTGTCAAAATTTTGGCAGACAATTATTTCGACATTGTAACTGGTGGCATGCGTATAGAGTGTTTATACTTTCAACCCCCTTATATTATCCTCCACTGTCTTGTTAACGCCTCAGTCTTCAGTGATAAATTTCAAAAGGCCTTATCACAGAGGTATGACCACTTGAGCATCGTCACACAAGCTATGGTATTACACATTCGCAACGTTGGAAACAATCATCAAATTGAAGCAAACATATGAAAATATTACCTAACGCACGAAGGTTGCAAGACGTTATGGTGGGAATAATTTGCGAGGCCTTAACTTCCATTTTCCCAAACCAGATGTCCCAGAGGTTTTGAAACAAGGGATAGAGATGATGAAGCAAAAATTTCGCTTGCACTGCAAAATCTATCTCATTAGAGACCTTCGAAAGGTTATATTGCCACGTAAGTTCCGAATCGAAAGTAGCAATATGTACGAGTGCATGAGTGCTGCAAACAAAAAGGATTTTATCTACTACAGATTCCAGTTTCGTCTTTGCTTATTACGTTCCATCGTAGGTTTTATAGGGCTGTTGAACTGATCCAAAACCACTCTTACAGGCCAAGTAAATTGAACAATTCATTTACAACCACGAATCTTAACATTGACAAAAACTGGCAATTTTTCGAATGCCGACTTTCTCATTTATATTGTGCTCTGAACATATTCATAAATCTCCCACTTGTACGCATGGCAGAAAGAAGTTTCTTTCTATTCATGCAATATTTTTTTATTGCGATGGAAATATTGAGAGAATATTACCTATTACTAACGAACTTACACGTGTTTTAATGTAGTTTCAATTATTGAACCAGAAGCTTGGCAAAAAGGCTGTAAAAAAGCGAAAACCGCATTGAGGAATACTGTTCTAATGATCTTGAAGGCAAGCAATATTCGAGTCTTGAATTCCTCTGTAAGTTTTCTTCGTAAGACCGATCGCATTGTGTTTATTTATTTAAGCTTGGCTCTCATGGTGGTTTTATTTGCTTTCATCTTGTAAAACTTAAGCTCTTTGACAACAACGCGGTTAAATTCACTTCAAATCTCTTAAATAACAAACATGGTGGAAGTTTTTCTTTATGGAAAGTGATGCAATCGTACCGAAGATACTCGACAAATGCGGTACCTTGTAACAGATCTTTAAGAATGTTTCTATCGAAAATCCAGTGATTTGATTTAAAGTGGAATTCTGCGTCTAAACGCCTTAGAGCGTTACGGATATAGCCCTTGGCAAACACTAATTACCATCTGGTTAAATACAGTTACAGCAATAGATATAGTTTTGTAGAGGTTATCTGTTGTTTTACCTCCTTGATTCGCTAATTTGCTTCAGCAAATGTAACGAATATATCAAGTATTTTCCTTG